TAGATTCAACCAAGCATCACTCTCTTGTGATTCTTGTTCATCTTCATCAGTAGCCGATCCATCTTCCTGAATTCCCATGTTTTGATTTTTCACTTCATTGCTCTGTTTGTCTTCTGCTAGAGACCACAAGATATAGCATTACCAAGATTTTTCACTTCACACGCACACAGCACGCAACCTCTGTCGTTTGTGTCGCTTGGGCAACATATACGCAAGATTCTCTTTCTTTGGTAGCTCCAAACCATCGACCTTAGCGAACCATGGGTGCTTGAGAGCGGCGGCTGCCATCAATCTCTTGTCTGGATTGCATGTGAGCAGGCCACTGAGCACCTCAGGGCCTGTTTGATATAGGGCCAAGGGGGTGGCCGGCGCTCCCCAGCTGCAACCTGGCCTGTTTGATTTGCTTGGCCCAACTAGCGGCCCTGCTCCACACGTGCAAAACGCACTCTCTCTCCAGCATCGGGGGAATGCTCCTAGGGTTCATTTCTTTGGAGCCAGGCTCCCTCCATCCTAGCGTGGGCGATTTCGAGGCGGCGGCGGCGGCTCACGCGGGCTCGCGCGGGAACCATGAAATTTCCTCTCGCGCTCCTCCTTGTCGAAATCCGCTGCCTTTATATGCCGCCCTCCTCCCTCGCTGCCTTCTTCTCCCTCCTCCAGCTCCGTCTTCCCCACTGTGTTTGCGTTGAGTGACCGGCGGTGTTGGTGTGGTGGTGGTGTGGCACGGCGGGCTTCTTAATCTCCGTTCAGGCGGTCGGGATCCGCTTGGCCATGACGCTGCTGCGCCTCCTGCCGGGCTCCGTGGATGTGGTCGTCTTCCTCCTTTGTCTTCTTCCTCCTTTAGTGGTGCGGCTGGTCTCGGTTGGGGTCGATCTGCTTCGTCCCGTACCGGATCTGCTTTTGCTTCCACTGCGGCTCTTCTTTAGAGGTAGAGGCCTTGTTAGAGAAACCAGTGGGTGTTCTATTGAGGAGCAGGTTGCAATGTTCCTCCATGTTGTTGGTCACAACCAGAGGTTCAGGGTAGTTCCCCAGTATTTTAGGAGGTCCATTGAGACAGTTAGTAGAGTCTTCCATCAAGTTCTCTATGCTGTTGGTGAGCTTAGGAATGAAATGATCAAGCCGCCTACCACTGCCACACATCCAAAAATCATAGGTAGCCAAAGATGGAACCCATATATGTAGGTACTTGTTAATCATGTTTATCTGCCTTGGGTTTAACCAATTGTTGTTTTTGCACTTATCCACTATCCTACACATTTCTAGGACTATGTTGGTGCCATTGATGGTACACATGTGTTGGCAAGGGTGCCTAGACACATGCAGCAGGCTTTTAGGGGTAGGAAACACAACCCCACACAAAATGTGATGGATGTTGTGGACTTTGATCTCAAGTTCACCTATGTCTTAGCTGGCTGGGAGGGCTCTGCCCATGATTCACTCATTCTTGCTAATGCAATTGACAGGAATGATGGGTTCATAGTTCTTGAAGGTAACTAAAATTAATAGTTCATACACTTTTGTCCTTTATCTTGCCACACATCTTCACTGTAGTATATCTTTTGGTCCACTTGTAGGAAAGTTTTACCTGGTAGATGTTGGCTAAGCTTGTCGCACTGGTTTCCTGCCTCTCTATAGGGGGTTGAGGTACCACTTGTCTGAATTTAGGAGCCGCAATTATCCTACCAATGCTAGGGAACTGTTCAACCTAAGGCATTCATCCCTTAGGGTGACAGTGGAGAGAGCTTTTGGTGCACTCAAGAACAGATTTTGTATCCTAGACTCAAGTGAAGCTTATACTGGCCTGTTGTATTCTCCATAATTGGATCATTAGGTTTGGCATGGATGAAGTAGTGCCAGAAGAGGAGGGCTTCCTAGACAGCTAGCCTAAGGGTGATGAAACCCAGCCTATGGGAGACATGCTATCCTAGGACTCCACTGGCATGTCTAATAGGAGGGATGGCATTTGCAATGCCATGTGGGCTGGTAGGGTTACTGCTAGGGTTTGATTCATGCTTTGCATTCTTGTATAATTTCAGTTTGTAGACCCTAGATATGGAACTCATGTGGTGTATTCATCATTTGGGGCAACTACTACTGTGCCAGCAGTGGCTGTTGCTGCACCTGAGGTAGTGGATGTAGGGGCTTATACACCTACGGTAGTGCCTACCCAGGGGGTGCTGGTGGTGCTAGGCCCCCATGAGGTGGAATAACAACACCTCTGGGTTTGTCCTTAGGAGGATGGCCTAGATAGTTTCTGATGGCAGTAGGGCTGACAAGTGCTTCAAGGATAAGGATGTGAACTATGTGACAAAGGCTCTACTAGATTACTGTGGTGAGGCTGTGGCCCTACTCAAGTGTACAACCACTTGAGGAAGTGGAGGTAGAAGTGGGCTAGGGTTGTGAAGTTGAAGGACCTTAGTGGTGCACTGTTTGATCTTGATGTCAATGCCATAATGCTTGAACCTAAGCACTACATAAGCCACTACAAGGTAGAAAAAGAATCAATTGCCTTTCTCTCTTCTCTCTTCCTCGTCTGGCCACTTATTCTCTTCTTCTCTATTTATTTAATGAAGCACACATGATTGCAGGACCATCCTAAGGATGCTGAATTCCTAAACACCCCAATTAGGTTCTACACTAAGATGGAGACCATATTTGGTTCTTCCATGGCCACTGTTAGGTTCTAGTGAGCCACTTGGGGTGAACAATGTTGACAGTGTTGCTGCTAAGATTGAGGGCTAGGGCTTCACCATTGCTGCTGATGTCAAATGCAGCCCTGAGATGGGTGAGGGCAGCAAGGCAACTGAGCTGCTCACCTCCACTGTGGGAGTAAAGAGAAAGAGGGGTAATTTTAGTGAGGAAGAGATGCTGATGATGACTAACATGACTGATGATGTCAACAATGTAGCCTCTACACTTAGAGAGACTAGGCATGCACATGTGGATCTTGACCTCTATCTTGCAGTGATGGAGATGCCTGGCTTCACCACTGAAGCACTCACTGTTGCCTACACCTACCTGTTGGAAAACAAGGCCCTTGGCAGGGGCTTTGTGAACATGGCAATCAGCCATAGGGACATTTGGCTGAGGAACTACCTTGCCAAGAACTACTATATGTAGTTATGTCCATCTAGGACAGCAAGGCAAGGAGGGGCTTGACTATTGAGATGTATAGTTCCTCCACCTCCCTCACCCACTCTCTTCTCTTTTGGGTTCTATTTTGGTGTAGCTCCTGTGCATGGTAGATGGCTGACCAGCACCTGTCCTTTTGGGTTTGCATAGTTATAGGGTGGCTAACTATATCTAAGCAAGTGTAACTAGGTAGTTCACTTAAGTGCCTACTAGTTGTGGGCTGAACCTTTATTTGGAGACAAACTTGATGTATTAATTAGTAACCTCTGTTGGTTACTGCTACTGCTACTATACTTGTCACTTTATGTTCCTGTTGCATTGGGAGAACTGTATTACATTGTGCTTTTCATGGGTGTCATTGAACCTATGGGACACATCCATTCCCTAGCAACAGCATGCTCATACCATGCTGATGGCAGTGAATGGATGTGCCCATGGATTTCATGGCTTTCATGATTTTGGGGATGTCCTTGTTTGAATCCTCACTTCATTCTTTCATATATTTCTGTCATTTCTGGGATTTGATACTTGTGTTTCCATGAGTTGGTGCCTAAAGTGGGTTTCTGATCTGGCCTATGATACATAATGTGGAAAAAAACAATGAGGTGGCTGCACAACTGTTTCCTGTTGTTATTGTTTTTTCATGGCTTGTTCTTGCTAGTTTTCATGATTGTCATCAAATCCATATGAACCATCCATTCTCTTGCAACACCAGTTGGATGACGGCAGAGAATGGATGGCCAGATGGGTTCCATGGCAGCCTTGATGTTCTGTTCCTACTTATTTGCAGTCTCAAAGTTGCTGCTTTTCTGTACTTGTTTGCTACATGTGCAGCCACCTGTGATGAGTACTTACATGAATTGCAGCACCAAATTATAGAGTTGAGGCCACTTTTTTAGCCTATAATGTCAACTGTTTCATTTCAACAAGATGAACCAAGGCATCAGTGTGGCATTTAGGATCATGGGTTGTTTCTTTCATCAATCCCTAGATCTTCAATGTCGTACTCATGCCTTGTTTCATGATTCACAAAGGACTGAGGCTAATTACAATTCTGATTTCATAGAATTGCTATGTGGTTTTCCATGGAAAGCAACCTGGAATCTATAGAACCTGGTATGAATACAGTGAACAGGTTCTTGAATTGAAGAATGCAAGGTATTTGAAGTACAAAAATTATGAGGAGGCATTTAGAGATTTCAAAGCATCTCTGGGAGCAGCAACTCCCCTCCCCTCCCAGCTGCTCCCAGATGACTGTTGTGAAGGAACTCCTACAACTATTGGTAAGAGTGGCTGTTGGAAGAATGTGCTTATATTAGCTCTTTCTGTCCTACTGTTTGCTCTTTGGATGAAAATAAACAAGTGTCCCTCGTGTAATTGCAATGTGTAGGCCAATGATGACAACAACCTAGGTTTCATTACCTGCCTTCATTCTGTGTCTCATGAACCCATGTCTTAGCTAGTTATGATTTTGGACTGCTGTTGTATGTACTGAACTCACATTTTGTGCTGTTGATCTCTCTATCACATTGGTTTTTAATTATCTCGAGGCAGGTATGGTTAATTAATGCATTACAACAATAATTAGTCCTGAGGCCAATGTGATCAAAATCACATTATTGTTGTTGTATCCTCTTGTCTGATCACATTTGCATTCTCAAATCTGTTGTTGTTTTCTCTATACACCGCTAGTTCTGGTATTTAGCCAATGGCTAGCCGGGCTGCAATCAAACAAAATCTCCATCTGGTAGTAGGAGGTAGTTGGTGTTGGGCCAGGCTGGCTGAAAAAAAAACACAACCTCTACTGGGCTCATCTCCCTAGCTACATAAAATCAAACACACCCTTATATGTGCTCTGGACCAGAGCGTGGCTAGCCAGAGCCTGGCTGATGGGCTCGAACACCCCTGGGCCCTATATCAAACACAAACAGGCCCTCAAATCCTTCTGTTGACAGCTTTGTCTCGGGGAACAGATCGCGCAGGAGGTTGTACCGCTGCATGTCCAGCTCCGGCATCACCTCGGTGGCGAATGGCATCGACGAGAACCACGGCCACATGCTGTCGTCAGGCACGCCGAGCACATCGAAGATGGCGCAGAGATGTCTATCGTTGTGGGATCCTTAGAACAAAGGCCTGCCGTTGTTGATGAGCTTCGCCATGACGTAGCCAAGCGACCAGACGTCGACCTTGGCATCGTAGTCGGTCTTCTCCATCAGCATCTTGGGTGCCTGGTACCATGGTGTTCTGGCGAGCTCGTACGGAGGCCGCTCGTCGGTGGACATGGCGAGCCCAAAGTCACAGATTTTGACGATGCTCTGGCCCTCATTGACGAGGATGTTCTGGGGCTTGATGTCACGGTGGATGATGTGGGCGTCGTGCATCTTCTTGGCTCCCGAAAGTAGCTGCCACATGGCGGCGCGCACGGTGACCTCAGGCAGCGGCGGGATCTCGCAGGGGAGCTAGCAGAGGAGGTCGTGGAGGCTGGTGGCCACGCACTCCATGATGAGGCACATCTCCCAGGTCACCGGGTCGCGGATGACGTCGTGGAAGCCAACGACAAACGGGTTGGTGCCACCGCAGCACGCGTCCTCGAGGAAGCGCGCCTCCTGGAGCAGCGTAGTGTGGCCGCCATCGGCCGTGCTGTGGCACTTCATGGCGATGGTCTGGTCCATGGCGTGGTGGCATGCCTTGAAGATGAAGTCGAAGGCACCCGCGCCAAGGCGGTAGCTGTCCTTGAGCTCGTACTGCTCCGTGCTCCCGACGGCGATGCGCTTCCTCTTTAGGCCGGTCTTTACCACGGCGATGGCGTCTCGGACAGCGGCGACGGGCTCTAAGTAGGCAGCCATCATGAGCGAAGCAGGGCGATGGCGATTCGTGTGCCCTAAGCAGGGGACGAGGTGAGGAGATCCGGTGGAAGACGTCGGGATATTTAACTTTTTACTGTTATAACGGATGTCACCTCTTTAGATAGCACTCTTAAAATTGCTCCTACATATTTACCATCGAGAGAGAGCATTTGATACATTCTTGTCATTTTCGCTGACGTGGCACGCCAACTCAACCTGACAGCATAGACCGGCCATGGAAAATGACATTTTTGCACCTCATCTATTTCTTCTATCTCTATCCCTTCCTCGCTCGAGCTCCCTCTCTCTGCCTTCCCTCCATTTCTCTCCCTTCCCCTCTCCCTTCCCTCCCAAAGCGGCGACGCAGCGACGGGCGCGACGCGACGATGCCTGTGCCTGCTACGGGTGGCCCCCCTCCCTTCCTCCCACCCCCCACGCGGGCGGACCCCCGTGGCACGGCGTGCGCGCTGCATGGTGCAGCGCGGGTGGCGTGGGCCCCGTGCGGCCAGCCAGCCCCGGCGGTCGTGGCTGCCCCCCTCCGCGTGACCTCCTGTGGCCGACCGACGTGGCTCCGCTCTCCCTCGGCCCATCCATGCTCCCGGCCACTCCGATGTTCCTCGGGTCGTCCCCTCGTTCGTTTGGTTCCTCCCCCCTCTCACTTCTTACCTCTCCTTGTAGGATCTGCCTCTCCCAGCGCTCACGGAGGCTCGCTCCCCTTCGCTATGGATGACAATCTATATGCAGACGAGATGTTCGCCTCTAATAGACGAAACCCTACCTGGGTTCGTATTGATCAGTTTGGCTTCAATAGATTGGGTCTCTATTGCTTTCGCCTCTTACTAATAGTTGATTTCTGCTCTCTGCTGATAAACCATTCTCCTGCCAGAAGGGGAGGAGCCGGACCACACGTGCGCCGCCGGGGATGGGGGAGCAGCGACCGGAAGGGGAGGAGCTGGACCTCGTGCGGCCGACCATGGGGGAGGCATGTCGGGGATGGGGACGCACGCATGGTAGAGACCACGCCCGCGGCAGAGCGCACGCGTGGTGGATCTCATGCCTGCGTTCGCCATCGGAGCAACGCTGCTAGCTGGGGTGGTGCGCAGACCTCGTGCTCACCGGCTTCATCTGCTACTGCTTGCGTTTGGGAGGGAGGAGGAGGCAGAGCTGAGAGGCGCGTAGGCCAGGATGCATCTTTACCAAGCGATGAGGATGAGACGGACGAAGAAGAAATAGATGAGGGGTAACAAAGTCATTTCGCATCCCACAGACACGCTGGCTTCCCTACGTGTCCTACCACGTATGCAAAAATGGCTTAAAGTTATGAATTCTTCTCTCTCGATGGTAAATATGTAGGAGCAATTTTAAGAGTGCTATCTGAAGAGGTGGCATCCGTTATAATGGTAAAAAGTTAAATATCGCGAAGACATCGGTGATGGTGACTAATGTTAGTAATGCGAAGAAAATAGGGGTTGTCCTTATAACCTTCTATTGAATGTGTGTCCGACTGCCGCAATTCCCCGATTCATCGCATCAAAGTATATCTACTTCGACTACGAGTCGAATTCCGACTGTGAGTCGCGTGAGTGTATCGACTCCGACTGCGAGTCGCGTCAAGCCGGATGACAGCTGTGCCGGACAGGCCACCGCGTACAGCCACGCCACCCCGTCCCGAGCCACCGGTGGGCCACGCGCCGCAACCCGTGTCGAGCCGCGGATGGTCCGCCGCCACCCACGGCGCTCCGCACCGAGTCGGTGGGCATGCCGCCGCCACCCCCACCGAGCATAGAGCGGACGCCGCCACCCCCCGCCACCGCCTTGGCGAGCTGTGGTTGGGCTGCCGCCTTGCCAGCCACGGGAGAGAGAAGGGGGAAGCGAAAATAGGACAGAGGACAGAGGAGAGACGCAGCTGGCTCTATTCGCATCGCTGAAAAGCCAGGCTGAAAAGTACTGCTCGCTAATTTGTTGTGAGAAAAACATTGCACCATGGCTGATAAATTCAAACGCACAGGGTTCGTTGACACTTGACAGGCCAAGCAAGCGATGGAGGTGACCTTGGTGCGATGGGGAAAAGTTTATGCGACGGCCGTACCATGCTTTTATGTGCGACATTGCCCTGCTGATTTTTTTTAGATCATGTCCATCGATACGTGTTTCATTAAGAGAAAAAACAAAGTAATTATAAAGCACTTAGCCTTTGTTTCGCTAAAATTTAGCTTATGTTGATTTGTTGTGAGAGAAAAAATATTATTCGTTTGCTGAAAAGTAGTACTGAAGTATTGCAAGTAGCATATACTGAAGACGTAGTGCAAGCACGGCAAGTGCACCTCAGCGTGCCTTGCCTACCGCTGAGATGTGTTCAGACTACGGCCCCGTTCGGATGGTATGGTTCTGGAGGAATTTGGATGGTTTGGAGGAATTCTGGAGGAATTTGTGACAGAAAAACACTGTTCTGGATGAAAAAAAAAGAAGCGGATCAAGTCGGGTTTAAGGGCACGCAAACGGGGCCTACATTTTGCAAACTTTTTGCAACAACACCGATGACCTAGGTTCGCATGAATCTCAGCAGCGCCGCTGTCGACGAAATATGGTCGGCAGTCCACCGAGGGGGGTGCCCGTGGTGGTAGATTATCGGTAGACGGTGCGTGTAATCAGGAACCAGATGGTGACGCAAGGCGCAGAGACAGCGATTTAAACAGGTTCGGACCGTCTGGTCGACGTAATACCCTACGTCATGTGTCTTTGGTGTATTATATTGAGATGTATACAGATTAACCTATCCTCTAGGGGACCCTTGTCTCTCCTTATATACTCCGAAGAGACAAGGTTACAAGTAAAGTATCCAATTTGGTACTATTACAATATCTAGTACAACTTGTAATTTTGATGTGCACGCCTTGATCTTACGGGCCGGGCCACCTCGGATGGTGCGGCCCATGTACCATCTTGTGGTACCCAGGGGTATATCCCCCACAGCTAGTCCCCGAGCGCCATGTATTCTGATGCGACACGTCGTTTCAACCTTCTCCGAACAGTGAGGCTTGAGTTCTTGACATCTCCGACCACCGTTGTCGCCGGAGAAGTAGGTTGTCCGAAGAATGTATGGTGCTCTTAAGAAGAAAGAAAAAGATTTTCGTCCTGAGAAGTGTGCCCACTTGTATTTCTGAAAAGAAATGTAAGTGCGTCTTGAAGCATAGCGTCTTTGATCGTCAGAGGCGTAGTGGTCGAAAAACAAGCACATTCACCGCAAGGTGAAGTGTGCCCACTTAGTCCCCGAGCCCGGTAGTAGGTGACGAGGCACGTGGTGCCGTGGGTCTAAAAAGAATTCCAGTTAAGTTGAGAATCAAATCGTCAGACAGCGTCACGAGATGCACCGGCAGTGCATCGACCGATGTAGTCCCCGAGCTTGCTTTGGAAGGCGAGGTATGAGCCTTGTAGCAAGGTCTAGTGAGAAAAAAATATCCCAATCTGTATGCGAGTCGCCATGATCGCATGTAGTCGAGACGCAAAGTCCCCGAGCCGTGGTCGGAGAGTGGTTGAGGCAGCCCCAAGCATGTGTCGAGGAGCGAGCGATGAAGTCCCCGAGCCGTGGTCGGAGAGTGGTCGAGGCGGCCTCCTCGAGCATGTGTCGAGGAGCGAGCGGACGAAGTCCCCGAACCGTGGTCGGAGAGTGGTCAAGGCGCCCCCGAGCATGTGTCGAGGAGCGAAGCGACGAAGTCCCGAGCCGTGGTCGGAGAGTGGTCGAGGTAGTCCCCGAGCATGTGTCGAGGAGCGAGTGACGGAAGTCCCCGAGCCGTGGTCGGAGAGTGGTCGAGGCAGTCCCCATGCGTGAGAAGCGAAGCGATGAAGTCCCCGAGCTGTGGTGGAGAGTGGTTGAGGCGCCCCCGAGCATGTGTCGAGGAGGAGCGAGCGACGAAGTCCCCGAGCCGTGGTCGGAGAGTGGTCGAGGCAGTCCCCGTGCGTGAGAAGTGAGCGACGAAGTCCCCGAGCTGTGGTCGGAGAGTGGTCGAGGCAGTCCCCGAACACAGGTCAAGAAGCGAGCGACGAAGTCCCCGAGCATAGCTCGAAATTACTGCAATATAAATATGTAGAATGGTAGTACATGATGTACAAAATAATAAATTATGGAGAAAATGACGCTCAACAGTCATTTGCAAATGAGCATGATGTGATAAAGCAGTTGGTGCTTTGTAAACATCAGTGTTAAAGTAAAGTTTGTGTTTATACTTAATATAAACTGCCTTGCCTACCGCTGAGATGTGTTCAGACTACGGCCCCGTTCGGATGGTATGGTTCTGGAGGAATTTGGATGGTTTGGAGGAATTCTGGAGGAATTTGTGACAGAAAAACACTGTTTCGGATGAAAAAAAAGAAGCGGATCAAGTCGGGTTTAAGGGCACGCAAACGGGGCCTACATTTTGCAAACTTTTTGCAACAACACCGATGACCTAGGTTCGCATGAATCTCAGCAGCGCCGCTGTCGACGAAATATGGTCGGCAGTCCACCGAGGGGGTGCCCGTGGTGGTAGATTATCGGTAGACGGTGCGTGTAATCAGGAACCAGATGGTGACGCAAGGCGCAGAGACAGCGATTTAGACAGTTTCGGGCCGTCTGGTCGACGTAATACCCTACGTCCTGTGTCTTTGGTGTATTGTATTGAGATGTATACAGATTAACCTGTCCTCTAGGGGACCCTTGTCTCTCCTTATATACTCCAAAGAGATAAGGTTACAAGTAAAGTATCTAATTTGGTACTATTACAATATCTAGTACAACTTGTAATCTTTATGTGAACGCCTTGATCTTACGGGCCGGGCCACCTCGGATGGTGCGGCCCATGTACCATCTTGTGGTACCCGGGGGTATATCCCCCACAGCCGCCAAGTCGGAGAATCCCGCTGAGATCCACTCGTTCCTCTGGTGCACCACCTCCAAGCAGATGTTCACTGGTAATCGCGGCGTTTATCCGAAGAAAGCTAAAAAGTACGGTTCGTTGATTTGT